GCCTGGAGATCTCCCTGCCCCTCCCTGAGCACCCGGCCCACGTCCTTCCTTAGAGAGCTGGGGCAGGAAGGGGTGGGGGAGACGAGACGCCTCCTTGATCTGCAGTGTTTGCAGGCGTGCCTCAAGAAGCTTTAATGACAAGAGCAACCTGGAGGCAACCACATCATGCATGCTTACGACTCTTTCAGTGCTCGGCTGGTTCAGCGCAAACTGAAACGCTTGGCTTTTGCCACGTTTTTTTACCTTAAAAACCAACGGTAACTGATACTGCTGAGTGACCTTCGCCAGAGCACCCTGACCACAGGATTAAGAGCACGGCTCAGTTTGCAGTTTGATAACCATGACATACACCAGTGCGACTCGCACGCGTGGCGTGAGCATCCCTGAGAACGCACACCCACGTATGCTCTGACATGCGAAAGCAACTCTTTGACATGCGAAAGCAACTCCCCTCTGCTTTCTCGGAGGACAGCGTTTTCCCCCCCACTATCTCACTGCGGGTTCTCACATTTTGCAACAGTGCCTACCTCCAGATGTGCATTTCAGCACTGCCGGCCTACCCGCCCATGATCCTGCCGGACACTGGGCATTGCCCGCTCCCGCAGGAGTATACCGCATCAGAAAGTGTGCCGTCCAAGTGACACAAACTGCAAAGCAAAGAAGGGTCTACTGGGACATCAGATCGACCTGCGGGGCACGTACCCTACCATTCCCCTGGGCGATGCATGCATCATGCCTGTAATTTGGGGCAGAGTTTCAGCATTTCATGAGCTCATGGGGAGGGACATGGGGTGTAATGGGCTGGATGCTAGAAGGAAAACTGCATCAAAAGCATAAGCAGATAACTGGACTGAAAAGAAAGAAGGGCCCCATCCATAAAGGACATGGTTGGACTTCCACTTTTCCATCCGGGGTGTTCCTGCTCCCTCAGCAGAAATGAAGATGCGAGTCACAGGCACTTCACAGCGCGGGTCCCGAGCTTTCCAAAACCTAGAAGTCAGGCTCCAGCAAAGCATTAGATTAGCTAACAAATCAGGCAGTAATAGTAACACAGAACTCCTTTGGTTCTTGTATCAGAGCTGCATTTTCAACCTTTTCTTCACGACACTGTGGTTATAAAGTGGCCTTTTGGGGGAAAACTGCCCAAAACGGAGCTCCTTGAGTTATAACCTGGCTCCAGTGGACAGGCAGGGGTTTCAGAAAAGCACCAGGTATTGCAGGACTTGCCATAACATCGGGAGAGCCAACAGCCCTGTGACCCTAACCCTAACCCCTGCAGTTAACTCAATGATTCAGAAGTGGAGACCAGGGCACAAGAGGGCCAGCTCTGCTTGCACTCGCCACGGACTGGGTCCCTGCAGTCTGCCACCACCCCAGAGACCCTGAAATAGGAGGAAGTTCATCTTCTTCCCAACAGCTGCCTCAGTTTCTTTTTT